GAACCAACATATAAACCGTTCATAATAACATCAGCAGGTTAACCATCCAAATCCTCAACACTTTTATTATTAGGAGCATCAAAAGATAAACCATTAACAGCCTCAACAGATTAACCATTCAGAGCATTAACAGATAAACCACTTAAGTAATCCACAGCTAAACCATTTAATGAATATTTCGTTTTTCACTTTGGTGTCTGCCAGCGATGGCCTGGAGGTCAGGTTAATTATTGGCCTCTAAAAACCTTCACTCCGGCCATCAGTGGCCAGCGGACGGCCAACGATAACACGCCTTTGATCCGCAGTCTGCGGCTGGAAGCGGCGATTATCTCCTGCGGAAGTTCGTTTTCGTTTCCTTTGATGATTTTCTGCGCAATCTCCTCAGGGAGTCTGCGTGGAGATTGCGGTGGAGTCCATCTGGACAAATTTACCTTTCGTCTGGGGTAGGTGAACGACTTACTCCCGCGAGTGTGAAATGTGCCAATTTTATTATTTCTAATTTGTTCAATCGAACAAAATATTCATCTTGGATTAAATTATTCTGACTATGAGCCAAGTCATTAAAAAGTGCATTAATTTTCCCAACAACATCCGTTGAATGATCATGGATGACGTAAAATATCCGTACCGTTAATCACTCAAAAATGACGTAAAATAATCTTTTCGTCATTAACCCCCCGAATATATCACATAAAATAAATCTTTATCCAATGGTAAGTGGGTCGTAAAAAAGTTCGTTCATTGGAAAATTGCACGTGAAGTAAATCAAGTTCAATGTAAAAGGCGACCAGGGTTATAGTATATTGACTATCGTGACCAAGCAGGGTAATTTCGTAGGGTCAAGGCGTTGAGCTAGAGGTAGGGTTAAGGGTGTAGTGTCAAGGCGGCGAAGCTAAGGTGCCTTAAGGATGTAGAGTCAACGCGGATTGTCTAAGGCACCTAAAGACTGCAGGGTCAAGACGGCGAGGTCAGCGACATGGTAATTGCCAGGTTAAGACAGACTTGAGATACTGCAAATTTATGGTTAAAAGAAGTTGAGGAAAAGATGAGGCTGTATTAGAGGAGGAAGAAGGCAGGGTTGAAGCAAGGCAATGTCTGTGGCATGTCAATGATATGCCAGTGTTTATGCAGGGTAAAAAGCATGACTAACACAGGTTCAAGGCAAGATAAAGGCTCAGTTAAGACAGGGCTAGTTTTGGTTGGGGACTTGGATAAGGCAATTTTAAGGCAAGGTTAGGGCATTGCAGAGCAGCAGCCAGAATGTCGCCAACTTCAGCAGTCGCAGAGTCGCGACTCTTAAAGCCCGCGGCGCCCGCGTTACCACGCAGCCCTGATGGCCGCTGACTCGACCCTGTCAGGTCTGCCCTTCACTGGCATAGACCCTGGCCTTACAGTAGCCCAGACCATGGCGCTGCAGGATACGAGTCCATGGCCCTGCAGGATACGAGTCCATGGCCCTGCAGGATACGAGTCCATGGCCCTGCAGGATACGAGTCCATGGCCCTGCAGGATACGAGTCCATGGCCCTGCAGGATACGAGTCCATGGCCCTGCAGGATACGAGTCCATGGCCCTGCAGGTTCCCAGTCCATGGCCCTGCAGGATACCAGTCCATGTCTCTGTAGCCCAGACCCTGGCCCTGCAGAAGCCCAGACCCTGGCCCTGCAGTAGCCCAGACCTTGGCCCTGCAGTAGCCCAGACCCTGGCTCTGCAGTAGCCCAGACCCTGGCCCTGCAGTAGCCCAGACCCTGGCCCTGCAGTAGCCCAGACCTTGGCCCTGAATTTAAGGTCGCCTGGGCGCACCGCAGCGCCGGGTTTTGGCGCTGGTCCAAACCCCACATCGATTGCTACCCTCACGTTCCCTAACCTCCCCACTCTTCCCCATTCTTCTCCCCACATCCCCCCACCTCCCTGCACCTCACACCTCCTCCTACTTTTTCTCACAAACATTTTCTTCTTCTCCTCCCCTATAATTTTTCCCTTCATATAAGTAATCCTTCCAACTCCTCCCTACTCTTCTACTCAACTCCCCATTTTTCACCCGTTCTTTTCCTATTCCTCTTCCTCTCATCCGCCTATTCCTCCCCTTATCCATCAACCTTTTCTCTCCCGTCGCCCCTTTCTCTCGTCATTCCTCTCCCGTCTCCCCTTTCTCTCCCCCACCCGCATTCCCCATGCATCAAGCCTCTTGTTTTCCACATGCCTCAATCCTCCCCTCCCTCCTCTTTGCCTCATTCTTCCCACTCTTCCTTGCGCACAATTCCCCATATCATATTTCCCTATTTTTCAGTGCAATGCAAAAGCTATGGGGAAGGAAGAGCGGGGCTGTGCGGATGAGCTGAAGAATTTTATTAACCTTTTAACCTCCGCTCTTTAACTTTATAAGAAGGAATTCCCCCAGTTGGGATTTATTTGGATCAAAATTTTGTATCTGATTCATAATCACCATCGCCCTGTTTTTATCATGTTCAAATACATAATCACCCAGTTTGAATCAGATTCATAAATATAATCGCCCAGTTTGTTTCTGATTCATATATATATAATCACCCAGTTTGTATCAGATTCATAAATATAATCACCCAGTTTGTATCTGATTCATAAATATAATCACCCAGTTTGTATCAGATAAATATAATCGCCCATTTGTATCAGATTCATAATTAGCATCGCCCAGTTTGTATCAGATTCATAAATATAATCGCCCATTTGTATCAGATTCATAAATATATTCACTCAGTTTGTATCAGATTCATCAATATAATCGCCCAGTTTGTATCAGATTCATAATTAGCATCGCCCAGTTCAGTCCCCGCAAACTAGGCAAAACTTCCGCCCCGTGCTCATTAAGAAACTTTTCCTCCATCTCAGTTCCGTTAAAATGCGCGTTTTTTCTATTGAATAAACGCGACATGTTCGGGAAATGCGGTCTTAAAACTTAACGTCGTAAACTTTACATTGGACGTAAATGGTGCGTTTATCGTAAATAATACGGTGGCCGTAAGTGCTACTGAGAAATATTCAATGCATAATAAATATATCATAATAATCATAATAGTGATAGTATATCGTGATCGTAAATGCTTGCATCGATCGAAATTGTGATCGTACTCGTGTGTTATACGGTGTTCGTATATCGTGGTATTTTATACAATAATTGTAGGGGTTACGTACGATGAATGTAATTTCCGCGATAGACATTTCAGGAAACGTTAGTGCAACGGAGATCGTAAGTTTTCAGAACTTTTCATATTACCCATGCATTGATGGGTATAATTGTTTAACGACTTTTTAGCGCATTTTCTCGTTTATGGAAAAAATTCACTATTGTGCTCGCCATGTCCGTTTGTCTGTCTGTCTGTCTGTCCATCCGTCTGTCCGTCTGTCCGTGATCTCAAGTTTTCGTCGACGAGAAAATGCGCTCTCTGTCACTCATGGCAGTGAGTACTGAGTTATATTTTTTTATATTTATATATAAACAACCAGGCCTACACATCCATCCATACTGAATGCCTGCTCATTCATCTACACTGAATGCTTTCTCATCCATACACTCTGAATGCCAGCTCATTCATCCACATTGAATTCCTGTCCACTTATCTATACTGAATGTCTGCTCATTCATCCACTCTGAATGAATGCTCATTCATTCTCACTGAGTGAATACTCTTTTATCCACACTGAATATATTTATTGAATTATATTCAGGTAAGAGGCAGACTATTCACGCCTTGAACTATCATTCAGTTACTGAATATAAACTCCATTATTATTTCATCAGAGCAAACGAATCACTGTGAAATAAAATGAACGATTCACTTTTAAAAGCACTCTACGTTTAACATTTTAAACTGCGCGCTTGTCGTTTTGTTACGATATTTTAACGTTCATTAACTTCACCTTTTTACGATTTCCTTTCAAAGTTTAACTTGTAACGAATCATTTTCAAAACTTTCGTCTTTCAACAACCAAATTCCTAAGTTGAGCGTTGAATTTGCAAGTTGAAAGTTTAAGTTAAAATGGCATGCATTCAAAAACCAATTGTTTCTCTTTCCCGTTAAAAATTTCGAGTTTTAGTTATACACTTCAAGTTTATTTCGAAAGGCTGCGAGCTCGAAGTTTCGCTTGTCATTCCTAGTGTTATTGCTGCCGATACCGTAGAGCTTGGAATGGGAATGCTCGTTCCGGAATGACGGAAGACTGAAAATGGAATCTCATGCCTGCAAATAACTGACTAAAAAAATGGGAATCCACGTTCTTTCCATTTGTGGACTATGGAATTGGCATTTGCTTTTTCTTCTTTATCGGAAACTGGAATGTTAATTACCATTTTTTTATCCATTAGTGGAAACTGGATAGAGAATTCCCGTTTTATTTCCGAATGGCGGCTGGAATGGCAATCATCAATACTTCAAAGACATTGAACTTGGGAAACGGATTTTCAATTTTAGCAATGGTTGGAGACTCGAATTGGAATTCGAGGTATTCCCTTTCAACGGAAACGCCATCCAACTTCATGAAAAACCTACTCCTGGAATGGGAATTCCCATTCCCGTTACGTGAAGTGGGAATTTGCTGCCGAACCCCGAGAGGCTGTGGAAAAAAAATCCGGGAATTATGCGCCGCTTCCCGACGATGAACGACGCAAGAAAAAAAAATCGAATAAGCAGATTTACGGACTCGCGTGTCGACGCGCGATCTTGTCCGCATTTTCTGGATTTGCCGGAGAATATTCAGGCGCCTCCGGACACGCGATATTGATTGGATATCTCGTTATAGACAATAATCATTTTATTTCTTGCTTTGAGTTCAAATATAAATTTGATGTGAATGCATTTTTTATTCTTAATGCAAATGTTATCAGCACATCACATGTCACCCATAAATCGGCACTTACATCACCCGTTGCTCAAGAGTCAGCAGAGAACACCCTACGCCCATCATCCATCACCCATCACCCATCACCCAACACCCATCACCCAACACTCAACCTAACGCGACATGTTCGGGTTAGGCCAACGCAAGACGTTTATTAAATTTTTCATTGCAAAATGTATTGATGAATTTTTCATGAGACCGTTTGCTGCTCCGTTATACGTTCCGCTTTGTCGTGATCACGAACTCATGTACATGGATCGTATTCGCTGCTAATAACATCCTAAAACGATTATGTCATCAAAATCTGTCCCATTTTATTACAAAACTTCTCTTTAACATCACTTCTTGTCTGTTTGTTTGTTTGTCTGTCTGCTACAAATCTTGTAATCGAAATTTAATACACTTCTACTTATCCTATCGATCTGAAATTTTGCACACTTGCGAAAAGTTGGAGACAATGCATGAATTAAATGTCAAAATAAATTATTTTAAAAATTAAAAAAACAATTTCGATATTAAAAAAATTGAAAAAATAATTTTGTCAGCTACAAGTCTTATAACTGATATTTGACACACTCTTACCTGTCTAATTGATCTGAAATTTTGCACACTTGTGTGGAGTCAGAGGAAATGCATGAATCAATTAACAGAATAATTAATTTTGAAGAAAAAATTTATATATTAAAAAAACAGAAAAATTAATTATTTTAATATTCGAAAATTAGATGAGAAATTCATTGTACATCTGTAAGATTGGAGACACTGGATTCTTTGGAAGTGTTGTCTTAAAAAAGTAATTTTTAAACGAATAATATTTCAGAGTTATTCAAAAATGAGATACTGAGTCCAAAAACTTGTTTTCTGGAGCTTGAAATTATTGTATGAACTGCATTCATACTGTCGGCTACTGTCACCTATACTGTCAGATAATTCCAGCTACCGCCATCTACCACCAGCTACCGTCAGCTACTGTCAGGTACTGTCAGCGACTGTCAGCGACTTTCAGCTACTGTCAGCTACTTCCAGCTACCGTCAGCGACTGTCAGCTACTTTCAGCGACTGTCAGCTACTGTCAGCTACTTCCAGCTACCGTCAGCGACTGTCACCAACTGTCAGCTACTGTCAGCGACTGTCAGCTACTGTCAGCGACTGTCAGCTACTTCCAGCTACTGTCAGCGACTGTCAGCGACTGTCAGCGACTGCCAGCGACTGTCAGCGACTGTCAGCTACCATCAGCGACTACAATTCATACCATCCTATTACTACAATTCATACCATCACATTCCTGAACATTTATAAAATTCAGTACCTATTAATACAATTCATACATCATATTCCTGAACATTTTTAAAATTCCAATACCTATACAGTACCTCTTACTACAATTCATACCATCATATTCCTGAACATTTATAAAATTACTATACTCATACAGTACCTATTAATACAATTTATACCATCGCATTCCTGAACATTATTACACCTCTTCTAAGTTTGCTTCCAAACATTGCCGCGAACGCTCGGCAAACCAGAGCGAACTCGAGCAAACAAGCGGGCCAATAAAACCCGCGGGATCAGCGCCATAAAAAATTATAATAAAATAAAAAAAAATCAGCGAATGTGATCTGCTTACGATGCACGCTTTTTTCTAAATAGTTAGAGGATTTCGGACTGAAAATTTTAAGGAATTGGGTAGCTTCTAACGCTAAATAAATGAAAGGTAAAGTCAGCTGCATCTAGCGATTACCACTGAATTACGCCCGGTAACAACGGTAGCATTTAACGTTTACCGCCGAGTTACGCCCGGTATTACCGGTTGCTTCCAGCATTTATCGCCGAGACACGCCCGGTTTTGCCCGCGGCCTCCATCTTATAAAAGCGTTTTGTTTAGGAAGCTGACGCTTGATACGCTCTGAGACATGACGCTTCCAGGTAAATCAAGTTAGTTGCATGCTAACTTCCAAGAGAGCGTGACGGCGTCGCTCCGGCATGCCGACATCCGGCATGCCGGCATGCCGTCTTATTTTTCCACGCGCATTTTGAGAGAACCATCGCCATCATTGTTATTTATTGAATTATGGCGATAGTTCTATTACTATTAGTATAAATATTATTAGTTTAACTAATTATAACTAATTAGTTTTATATTAATTAAATTGTTACATTAGTTTCACTATGCTCACTCCAACCTAAGTAAAAGACACTCATAATCTTACACCCCACTACTCTGTCAGGCAAAAATTATAAATAATTTTATCATCGTTTAAAAACTAGACCATTGACATCTGAGTAATTGTACTTTCAAAGATAATTTTCATCAGAAACATTTCGCATTAAAGCTAAAAATATTGCAGCCTCGAAATACCTGAAAACAATAAAAATATAAACAATTTTCTGTTGGCCTTTAAAGTTCCACATCTTACATTCCACCGCCAAGGCGAACCTGAGGTCAATGAGGTCATAGAGGTCATTGGGTATGTTGCTGACATCACGGGCAGTTGACACCGGATCAGACGGGGTGTCAGCAGACGGTGTGTCAGCAGACGGTGTGTCAGCAGACGGTGTGTCAGCAGACGGTGTGTCAGCAGACGGTGTGTCAGCAGACGGGGTGTCAGCAGACGGTGTGTCAGCAGAAGGTGTGTCAGCCTCAATAGAGGCGTCAAGAGCGCAGCTTTAAGAACTTCTCATCGCAGCGGCTCCTAAGAAGGTTATACCGGCAGCCATGGCTGACAGTCAGCCATGGCGAATGGTCATCCATAGCATATTGTCAGCCATGAGAATGGGCAAACAAAGTTGATGGTCGTGGTGACACGACTGACCATTGGTCAGTTGACCATGAGCTGGTAGCCTTCCTATTCATTATTTGCATTTATTTTAGGTTCCTGAATAATTAAACTCCTGGGAGTAAACTCCGTAGAGTTTTAGGATACCCGCAAATTTTCATCTAATCCCTCAATTATTAAAATTTCGTTGACCTCAGAATCACAATAATTCAATTTTCAGTTGTAAAACTTTCCAAGTTCTTTACCAAAGTTTTACTATATCTTCATTTAAATTGGAAAAAGAGTTAAAGTTTTCGTTCCAATAATTGTGATCATTTCTGTATGGTCACGAGTGGTTGTTTTCTTCAATCGTTACGGAGTCTCGCACTCAATATCCCTAACAAAACTCGGGGTATTCTTCAGCCTCCGCCCCAGAGTGCTATGTTCGCGTAAGAGTTATTCTGGGTTAGTTGGCCAACTGATCGCAATCAGCGACTAGTCACAACCTCCTTGCCGACTTTATAGTCTCCTGAGAGTAGGGCAAGAGTTGGCAGAATAAGTACCAGGCGCTTGTAGCCGTCTGATTCGGGGACCGGAATGTAGACCAAAAGGCAGACATAGAGAAGCTTATTTACGTTCGGTCCGAGTCCTAGGCGGTTCCAAATTCTAATTCAGGGTCGCCACCAACGCAAAATTTGATAGGGATGTTAATGTCTCGATCTAATTTCTTTCACTAACATTCATTATTTGTATTATTATTTTCATTATAATTATTATCATTAAAATTTTTATTATTATTATTATACTATCATACATAAATTCAGTATAATTGCATCGAGTTTATGACGTTTGGAAAACTACAATTGAGAAGAACGCTGTATATTTTTGAGAATTTGAACAACCGGCTTTTGAGCCTCTCTACTCAACAACCTCCATGTTATGTCAGACAAATTTGCCATCCATAAAATTAGAAACTAACTGTTTTTGATGGGGACATTTTGAAATTAAATAAAACATTTAATCGTTAAGTCAAAAATAGCTCTATAATGTCCTGCTTTACGAAATATTTGCCGTGTATTCATGTAGCTATTCATAAACTCCTCATGCAGAAATCGATGAGAAACAATGTTATCAGATGATAATGAAACTCTGGTAGCACAAACCGTAGAGTTATCAGAAAAAATATTAAAAAAAACGTTTATCAAGATACCCTTGAGCAAACCATCACGTCTAAATTGGCACCAGTTTCAGCTAATAATCCTCTTAAATGGTGAATCGTGTACTTGGGCAACCTTCAGCTAAATTGTGATTCATTATCTCAAAATTCCTCAGAATCTAGGGTACTGCGGAGCCCCTATGAGAACACGGCAAGAGTTCAACCTGCCTTATAATAACCAAATTATTAATACTAGCGCTGCCACCGTTGATTTCACCATTAGCCCTATTACCGACACTCAGCATCACAGAATTTCACAGCTGGTTGTGGTCTCGAACACGCAAATCACTGCTTCAATTTTCCTTTGTTTAACCGCCCGATTATGCGTCTCTGTTCCAATCCTGCTCCTCTTAACTTTACCCTACTATACTATACTATACTATACTATACTATACTATACTATACTATACTATACTATACTATACTATACTATACTATACTATACTATACTATACCATACTATACTATATTATACTATACTATACTATAATATACTATACTATACTATACTATACTATATACTATACTATACTATACTATACCATACTATACTATATTATACTATACTATACTATAATATACTATACTATACTATACTATACCATACTATA